ATCAGAAAAAGAATTTCTTCTTAGTATATAATCTAAATCTATCCCCTTTCAGTTTAGAGCCATTCCCCCTTGTCCTATCAGAAGTCTCTCTCTAGGCCCCTCTGTAGGTACTGGAAGGCTGCTCTAAGATCTATATAAACAAGTACAGCTCAGAATATGCACCCACCCACATATACCTCTGTGGGTGCTCATGCACTTGCAGGTACATATACACACCTGAATGCACACACATACAGATGCACACCTTTGCACACACCCACATAAGCATCCACTTGTGCTCACTCACATTTGAGCACACACCCCCCCCACACACACACCTGTGCACCCAGACATGTGCAAAAAAATGTGCACTTCCACGCATGTATGAATATGAATGCCCACACATGTATGTGCACACATACACACACAGATACTTATACTATGTATATGGGCACATGTGCAAAAACACATGCACACCCACACTGACTCTTCACCACTCACACAGTGAAAGAATTCTTTACGAGTGGTGAAGCACTGAAACTGGTTGCCTGGAGAAGTTGTGGATGCTCCATCCCTGGCAGTGTTCAAGGCCAGGCTGGGCGTGGCATTGAGCTACCTGGTCTAGTAGCCGGTGTCACTGCCCATGGTAGTGGGACTGGAACTAGATCCTCTTCAAGGTCCCTTCCAGCCCAAAGCGGTTTTCGATTCTGTGATTCCATGACGCACCTTTGCACATGACCACACCCGCGACCGCACATGCACGCACCTATACACCCACTCACAGTCTTACATGCCCCCACACACGCGTGCACAGACACACAAAGCCCCGCACGCCCCCGCACACGGGCACCCCCGCGCCGCCGCCGGGGCAGCACCACGGACAGCGCCCGGCCCGACCCGGCCCGCCCCGCTGGCTCCGCAGGGCCCTCTCATCCGTGGGCTTGCAACCGTGCTTAAAAAGCATGTGAATTCTTCTGGCACTGAGACGCAAAGTCACTCCGGAAACTCTTCCATTTCCCAGTAAAATGCACGAGACAAAATCCCTGCCGAGTCCCTTTGGCTTCAAAGGGAACATTTTTAGAATCACCTGGTTTAAACGCTGAGGAAACATATATACCTTGAAACCATTCCTCCAGCTAAGCACATCAAGAAGAACTTTATTTCCACGCTGCACCTCAGGGCAGCAAAGGCACAGGTATTTTCCCTGCAATGGTCATGTGTTCTCATGTACATTTCTAATACCTTGTGTGCAGCACCGCGATAAAAGCCATAACAACAGTGCATCTCCTTATGCTCCAGCATGAAGCCACAAAATAGCTTCTTCATTAGCCAGTGAAGACTTCAGAAGTAATGGCCTGGCTGAGATGATACTCCTAACCTTCAGGTTAATGTGGCTGTGGTTCTTGCTGAACATATAGTGGCACTTGGCATTATCAGAACACAAGGGCTGGAGTTCAACAAGTCTTAGTGCTCATTACTTGGGCCAAAAAGAGGCTGTTTCAGCAGCGAGATTAAGTGAGCTGAGCCTGCTGGTGATGGTCAGAAAAGCAGATTCATATGTGTTAGAAGGATGATACAGTCTATGTGTAGAAATTAGCTCCACGACTGGCAGGCAGATCTGAGAGACATCAGCACACGGAGAGTGACTGGCTGTAGGCTGTGCTAATATTGCATCGATCTAGATGTAGTGCAAGGTTCACAGAGTTGAGGTGAAAAGTTTAACATCTTCAAAATCAAGTACCCTACTAATATTTTTATTGATCAACTATACAGACACTCCTGTCTATATCAACACCGCCTTTCATGGCACAAAGAAGAAACCAATATTGGATACTACACAGCAGTATTCAACCATCCAAGCCTTGAGATTTGTAGAACAAGGGATGTGGGACTAAACACACAGTTAAACTGTGATTCTCAGATTCTGTGTCTGGTCAATCCTTTGGGATTTTTAAAATATGTCTAAGAGAAAGGGTGTTCTGAGTCTGTGAATGTACTGTGAAGAGTATGGATTTTGTCCAATGACCATGAGACCCCTCACAGTGCTCTGTGGTGTTCTGCCATCCATAAACACCTCCAGAATCTCTTGAATTAGCAATGTTCATGAGAAATATGGGTGTATATGTGGCAGATACAACCCCTTCACATCTGTAACAGATCTGACAGTTTAAGTGGGCGTCAGGTGAGAGAAAGGAAGCTTTGCAGCCTCCCTTTTGTAAGAAGTGAACTGCCCCTTCCTGTCAGTTGGAAATAAGGGCAGAGCCCAAGGGAGTGCAGTGCCCATAGGGGCTGTACTTCCCTGTGGGGGAGCATGCTGCCATGAGACACACTTACAGCAGGATCAGCAGCTTTATCAGCCTGACACACACACACAGGCTTTTTCTCTCAGCCAGGAGTATTTGCTTGGGCTCAGCACTCTGTCAACACATGCACAGCCTTGAACTAACAAGCTCAGAGCCAACAGGATGTCTTTTCACTGAACTCCCTCACGATGCAGCCATGATCTCTCTCACCCTGCCTGAGACTCAGCCAAGCATGCAGAGTAGAAAACTCTGTCCCTCCCCCTTTGTGCTTTCTGGTTGTTTTTTGTTGTAGGGTGTTAGACAGGGAAAGACACTATCATTTATTGCCAATCCTAACTTTTTGGATTTCTTTGCAATCATCCTCCATGACACACATAGTACTAGATACTGCATACAGTACTGTAATAAAGTACTGACTTTATTACTGCATTTTTATTTTCAGACTTGTGGCTGTCACCTACCGATTGGGTCTAGTTCATGGCATCCCCACAAAGGCTGAATGCAGGCAGTTTGGAATTGAGCAGCAAGGGATGCAGCATGTGCTTGAAAAGCCCCAAGTTGGCATTTGCTCAGAGAGGAAGCAAGTTTGCAGTAGCCGAATCCCTTAAGCAGCTTATCTCCTCCTCTGCTGCAGCACAGGGTGATATAGTGCAGTAAGGTCTCCAGCCTCTGCCTGTTGCTGCAGAGACACTTTGGACACTTTAGTACAGGGTTGGGATGTTCAGCAGAAACATAAAAAACTGAAGAGAAAGACCTCTGATCTGCATTCTCAGAAAGGAAAATTGAACACACACTTCCCACAGGCAAAGAGCAGATGCACAAACATACTTGGAGGTCAGCATCACTCTACTCTGGTGAGTAGCTGGTTAGTGATGCAGACTCTGACATGTCCAAGAAATGAGTACAGATCCTATGCAGTCTGGTGAGCACAGAACTCAGTTACAGTTTGAACTCCCTAACTGGGACTGAACACCCTGAATATTACAGCCTGAAGAGTGGAAAAAGCCTTCTGTGATTTGAGCCAATCTATTTCTACCTAGAAAATCTTAGAAAACTAGCTATTAAAACTAGCTATTAAAATCCTAGAAAATCCTAGAAAACTAGCAATTAAAACATCATAATCACAAAAAATAAAGTCATTTTCCTGACCGGTGCTAACAGTGGCCTACAGTGTAGACACTGTGTGCAAGGTAAAACACACCACCACAATAGTATGGGCTAAAGCTCACAGTTGGTCATCACATAGCAAATGTATTTCAGTTTTGAAGTTTTGTCATTCCTGAATACAGATCCTATAATGAACTCCAGAAGAGACCTTAACCCTTTCCTCTTAAGGGTGGGTGGGCAGTTGTGATTTGTAGAGCTCATTGAAAGGAAAATAGTGAGATGAAGAAGTATGAAGGCCTTAAAAGAAAAATTATCATCTTCCAGTCCAAATCATTAGTCAAGAAACTTTCTGCAAAAGGAATAAACCTAGAAAAACATTTTCAAAGTGATTGTGGGAAAAAGGTGAATCCTTTTGGGATTAATGTCCAGTAAAGTATTAGGAATATTGTTCCCCAAAGTAAGATAGGAAGTGAGTACATGAAAGAGAGGAAATGCAATTTTAGGTAGAGCCACCTGAAATGAATCTGAAAAAAAAGACCAGATCAAATTGCTTGTTTATATTGTGTGTAAAAGTGTTTGCCACACTAGCTGTGATGGTGGTGTGTGCTGCCCACTCACCTTATCCCCACATGGATGCACGGTGGCTGCACAGAGCCAGGCAAACGTGGGAGAGCCAGTGCCAGCTCTTCAGAGCTCACACCTGGCCCAGACCCACCCCACATCTGTCCAGATGTATGGTCTGTCAGGCCTTGAGAATGTTCACATGGAGACCCTCATCAAGCAGTGTGGCCCTAACAACCTTGTGTTCACCACAACGAGTTCAATCGTTTCCCACTGTACTCTGACCATTGCAAGCCATGCCCTGGAACATGTCAGCAACTAAAACACAGCATCTCCTCAGTGGCTGCTCTGTATCTTAGGACACTTTGTGAACACACTGGTGAAGAAAAGGAAAATCTTATCTTTGATTTTAAGTAGCCACAAGGATATAGATCCCAGCAGCAGCAGCCAAACTAACAGTCTCAACGAGCTAAAAAGCCAGGCAGAAATGTCAGCTTAGGTTTTTTTTGTCTCAGCTGTTGGATGAATAAATCCTTTCAAACTAGGACAGTTAGATTCTGAAATAACTTATTCTTGCAGAGATAAGAGGGATGAATTTACATCTTCTCCTTGCTGAGGTAACTACTGCAAAGGCGGACCTTTTATTGCAGGATCCTCCCTTATTAATAAATTATGTCATTTCCCCTTGATGCTGAGGGTTGAAGGTAAGTCCATCATTTTTGCTTAATTCTTCAATGCCAGTTTAGAAAGCCTTATTTGTCCAAGTAAACTTTCTCTGTCCCTGCAATTCTCCAGAAGTGATATCTGTTCAATGGTGACCCATCACTATGGGACAAAAATTTAATCTCTAATTCTTGCAAAAGGCTGCTTTCAGTAGCACTGAAGGAGAAATTGAGGAACCCCATATTTTGGGGAATAGAAAAATAGTCAAGAAACAAGTCAGAAATCATTGTTTGGCTTTTTTAATGAAGGATATAGAACAGTATTTAATGAAAGAAATTACCCCTGCTTGCTGAAAATTGATCTTAAAATTTTCATGAGCAGTTTTCAGCAGTGGTACTAAGTTTTGGGATTCTTTTTCTTGCCAGAAATTCAGAATCCTTCTCTCTCCCTCTCTCTCCTTTAAAAAAGAAAATGATACCTTTTTTTTAGTAAAGACAATCAGTGAATTTGGGAATCAAAGCCATTATAACAGTGAAGGATGCTGTCCATCTCCTCCAAGCAGAAATTTTGTCTTCAGAGATGCCCCCATCCCCTCCAAGACTGACTTCACCACATGAAACCTACTCTTTTTAAAGTTTCTCTTGGCTTACATCAGTCTCTAAGAAGGAGAAGACCCTTCCTGCCCATCCCTTGTAGGGCTGGCTCTTTCTTCTGTAAGAGCATTTTGAGTAATTAATTTCTAAAAAGCCTGGCCCTGTATTTGCACTGTAAACACACACACTGCATCAGAAATCTCCTTTCAGTACATTATGCTAAGCTTAAACAAAACTCTTGATTTTAGAAACACTATACAGGACATTGTAAATCACCACCTTTGAAAGCATAAGTCAATGCCTTCCTTTTGCTAAGTACACTTGTAAAACTGCACACAGACATTTTCCAGAACTTTGAACAATTCAGTCTCCTGGTAAGACAAAAAATGGTTTGCATACACCTGTATGGAAAGTGGTATCTAATCTTTTATGTTTGCTATTGGAGAGTGCTCAGGTCAATCAACAGGCAATAGAAGGTAGTGGTAACTTTTATTTTCTATTTTATTTTACAGTCAAGGTTGAGTATTTGTTTTTGAAAGATTGGAGGACTTGGTTGGCAGTGCCAGGGAATCGGACTCTTTTTATCTGCGTGCTTGTTATGAGGAGGAGGCAGGTGCAAAGCAAGCTTTCTGACATTGTCGGCAGCAATAATCCCCACCTGAACATTGACTGGCCACCTGCTCTTCAGGCACAGAGACAATTCAGGCTCTAAGTTACTGTAGTTCTAAGTCTCTGCTAAGTAAAGACTCATAAATGACTCAAATTACACTAACATCAGTGGGTTTGACAATATATCAATATTTAATCACTGACAGTGATTTCTTCTGGATGCACCTGAAGGCATGCAGCCCAACCTGAAAAGGCCTAACCCGACATGATACATCTATGGTTTATGGAGGACCTGTTGCTGAAGATAGACAGCATCTGAATTCCCAATAACCTTCATGCCATCAGCCACCCAGCTTGTGATTAGAGCCAAGGCACCCTTAAAGCTACTTTTGTTTTGCTTTTCTTTCACTCAGTAGTCAAAATCCATAAGCTTTTCTTGCAGAGATTGGCCCTCAATTTACAGTGGGATTTATCATTTTTATGGGAAGTTACTTTCATATGTTTAGTGACCCATGCATCCTAAAATACACAGCGTAAGGCAGCTGTCAAGAGGCACAGCAGACAGGAAAAGGCAGAGATGTACAGAAGCAAGTTTGTTAGGAGGCAGTGTAACTTCTCTTATGCAGGGGGAAAAAAAAGACAGATGAGGGTTGGCCTCGTTCTTCTGTTATCTAAATTTATTCATTTATTGCCTGTAAGTTACAACTGTCTACATGGCAAACATTCCTTGCTCCCCAGTCCTGATATGATGTCATTCCTCCCTACTGATAGAAATACCAGATTTTACTCTCCTGAGACATTTTAAAGCTGTACTTTGCAGAGGTGCCACAAAACACTCCAAGGAAATCATCTGTGGAAGGGAATCCCTGCAGAAATAGAGCTCCATACTTAACCTGCTGGTTTGTTTATTCCTTTCAAAGGAATATGATGCATTCCATAGAAAGACCTGCTGGCTAAACCCCTGTTTACATCACTCTCACTTTCCTGCAGGGCAGGCATCCCTGGACTAAGAGTAGGTGGCACTGGGCAAGCAGTGCTGGAGTCTGAGCTCGGCTGAGAGGATTGAAGGTCTGTGGCGGAAGAAACACTCAGTAAACACCTCATTAACACACAACTAAAAAGCAAGGAAAGTTATTTGAGGAGGATTTTACAACTATGCCAGGTGAAAATGGAATAAAGTCATTGCCTTCTGCAAGTTTGCAAGGGACAAATGATGGACATGATAAAAATGAGACAGTAAGTGAACTGATCTTTGCTGACTCTTACACAGACCCAACTCAACAAAACCTGCCCAAATCTAGCCCAGCCATCCAGCTCCCCACCTCCACCACCAATTAGGAAACTGCTAAAATTCAAACCTACTGTAGGAACTGCAGGTGAAGTGCAGAATTACCAACACCACCTTTCATGGTGCTGTTGGCTTTTTCTTTGATATGATCTGCAGTAAGCTGCAGGTCTCATTGTCAGCACAATGCACATATATAGAGGATAGAAAAGTTAGATGAAATGGGGGAAAAAATGGAGGGGAGAAAATGAAGCTATCTGGTGAAAATTAGTGACAGGAATGTACTGCTGGTGAGAGACAGACTAGCATGAAATTGTGAAGTTTTTTCATACTCTTTCTCTCTGGTGATGCAAAAAATACTCTTAACTTAGAGTTTGTTTTGTTTTTTTTAATCAAAACATTATCTATTCCACCCCACTCTTTCAAGAAAGGGGAAAAAATAAAATAATGTAAAAAATTAAAAGAAAGAAATCAGCAACTCTTCTGCTGACATGGCTATAAGACCTTTTGATGCTACTATCCTCATTACCTGTAACCCCTTCAAACATCACAAAAATATTAAAAATATCTTAATAATTCCATTTGAAAAGCCCCATCAAGAAAACAAAGCCATGATCTCAAGTTTACTAGGAGTTCTAAAAAGTAGTATTTGTTAACTCTGAAAATGTTGTTGGTCAACACTCAACATATCTTCATGCACCTGCCCATCTTATTGATAGTGTGTGTTCCCCTTGCCAGGACTTTCATTTTGTACACACATGATACCTCTTCAAAACAAGTGCTGCTAATGGGTGATCAAGGATATGCAGGCAATAAAAGCAGAGAAAACAGCAGCAACATTGCAAATTACATCATTCCTTAATCAGGAACAAGGCCAAGGATATTTTAGCATATTCAGGAAGAAGAAGGAAAAAAGAAAACAGCATGCAGAGAACAGCTCTACACTCTGAACGAAGAGAATACAGTTACTTCATGCTGGATTTATTTCAGCACAACATAACAGCTTTCCACAAAGTGGTTTAGATGGAATTCCCAGGTGACTTGTTGTGTATTTAAATACTGCCTGCCTAGGATTTAAATAAACAGCTTTTATATTAATTAGAAACAAATCCTCTCAATTGGAAGGTATTAACTGTTTCTAAATTGCACACACAACAGTTACTCAGACTTTGATTCAGTTACAGGCTTTTAAACTTGTCAGCCACTCGTAGTCTAATATGCTATAACTACAGTTTTCAGAACTGCAATAAAATATTGATTCAGCTGTTTTAACCTTTCATCGATCAGCGTAACATGTAATTAAGTCCTAGGAGCAAGCAAGTAGCTCATTGCTAGCACACCAGCCTAGGTACATATTTACAGCCTACGCCTAGCAGAATTGTTTTACGTGTGTTTTGCAGTAATACACATGCCAATTATGTCCTTGCTAATTTCTGATTATAGTTTAATCAAAGACACTCAACACTGTGCAAGTAGGACCTGAATATAGATTGCCAGGCTCTTCACTGACCAAGTACAGTGATTTCACCAGCTGAGAACCTGACTTACAGGTTTCAAAACTCTGATGGCAAAACCATTCTACCCTTGTCAAATGGCCTGTGGCTGCCAGAAATTACAGGAGTTGTTGTTAGATCCACCTGATAATGATAGTGCAAAACTCCCTCTGAAGGCAGAGCAAAGTTCCCTTCTTAAATTCACAGGATTATTTAGTAGCTCTAAATTTTATAGAGCCTCAGAACGAGCCTTCTCTAAGATAACTGTCTTGTCTAACTCCTGGGAACAATGCTCTGTTTTTCTTAGCTTTGACCCCATTAGGTAAATCCATGTGGGTTTCTTTTCTGGCTGACTAGCTGAAACAAGATGTTTTTTCTCTTGGTTTACTTCACACCATTCAAAAAAGCTAAACAGATTCTCAAAATGTTTGTGATCAGAGTGAATAGGCCAAATTAATCCTTTGTGCTTGCAGCCTGTTTTTCATTAATTAGTGGAAACCCAACCTGACAATACTCAATATCACAGTCTCCAGACTAAGAGTGCATTGCTGAGATAAATGGAGTAGAAGGAAGATGTTAGTTCCTGGCATTATCATCCTCCTGTACAATAGCAGTTTGTTTGTTTATTTGAATATATATGATAGCGGCAGATAATATGCTGGGGTTTTGTTTGTTTTTTTTTTTTAAAGCCTAAGACATTTCAATGAAGTTATGTAAATGAAATATACAGACCAAGAACAATTATGGTTGTCCAGCTCTTTTGGAAATCTCCATAGTTTTGTACAAAATTCCTCTCTTTTGGGTGCTTTCACAGATATGTTGAATTCCTGGGTGTATTTTCAGAAAAATGAATGTACAGTACCCTTTTCCTAGGAGCACCTTTTCTCTCTCAAAATGTACAGTCACACAGAATTGATGTTATCCCTCATCTTGGCCTCTCTTGGATGAATAAACACCAATTACAGCTGTTGAGGACCCTGCAGCACAGACCGGCAGAGCTCTTGGCAGAGCCGCACACATTACCTGTGCAATCAGCACCAGGTATCACAGTCCCACGCTGAGACACTGACCAAATTGCTAGTGCCTCGTGCCCATGGTTCAACACCACAGAATCATGGAATGGTTTGTGTTGGAAGGGATCTTAAAGATCATTTAGTTGCAAGGCCCCTGCCATGGGCAGGGACACCTTCCACTAGACAAGGTTGCTCGAAGCCAAATCCAACCTGGTCTCTAACACTTCCAGGACTCCACAACTTTTCTGGACAACCTGTTCCAGTGTCTTACTACCCTCACAGTAAAGAATTTTTTCATAATATCTAATCTAAACCTATCCTCTTTCAGTTTAGAGCCATTTCCCCTTGTCTTATCATGACATGCCCTTGTAAAAAGTCCCTCTCCGGCTTTCTTGCTGGCCCACTTTAGGAAACATCACAGGTGATCATGTGCACGTGGGAAAATCAATCTTCTGACTCATCCT